CCAGCACAGCACTGAACTGCCCTCTGGTCAACCCGTCAGTTCCCGGACTAGCCCTGGACAGCAGAAGCATGGAGAGTTTGTTCACACTTCGATCACAGGCAGCAAGTTTCTCCTTTTGATCTTGAACATTATCCATAAATGCCAGGATCACGCAATACCATTTTCTCTAGCGAGAGTGGAAAAGATGGATGTATTCCCAGCGCCTGCAAACGAGTCCTCTGGCCCCGCCGGCTGGGACCCCTTCCGCCGGCCCCTGGCCTCCGTGCAGCCCTGGCACTTCAGGCTGCTGGCGGCAGCGATGCTGGTGGTGACCTCCCTGTCGCTGGCCGAGAACCTGGCTGTCATCCTGGTGACGTCTAGGTTCCAGCAACTGAGACAACCTCTCAATTACGTGATAGTCAATTTGTCCGTGGCCGACTTCCTGGTCTCGTTGACCGGCGGCACCATCAGCTTCTTAGCCAATCTAAGAGGTTATTTTTATATGGGACGCTGGGCTTGTGTGCTGGAAGGATTTGCTGTCACCTTCTTTGGTAAGCTTGGTTTTCTTTGTAGCTATATGCTCTTCTCCCTCACCCGAGGCCTTAAAGAGAAGTTTCCTTCAAGATCATGTGTGTGCTTAGGCTCAAAAGGCAAATGTAGTCTCCTTGCTACCCTGCAGCCTCCGAAGTTACCGCGTTACCGCGTTTGCATGCCTTTGAACCCCCCAGGTACACATGTTCTGCAGTGGATATCATCTATTAGTGGATAACATCCATCACTGTCACTGTCACGCATCAGTGGCTTGCTGGATGTAGGCTGTGCATTGAATGTACTTAGTGCAATGAGAAAAGGCTTACGAATAGGATATCTTTAACAGTTTTTTTGTGATAAAACAACGGCAGAAAAAATTTTCACCATGTGCAACTGTTTTCAAGGTTTGTCTTTAAGTGTGTGTGTGTGTGTGTGTGTGCGCGCATGTAAAAATATGAGAGAGAGAGAAAAAGAGTGAGTGGCTGCTCTTAAACTGTGGAAAAAGTTAGGGCAGTGAAATGTCGTATGTTAACTATCCCCAGTGGCTGTGATTCTGTCTCTTGGCTTTATTTTACTGACCACAGAAAACCTATTAAGACTACTCAAAAATAGAAACTCTTCACCAGATAGTTCCCTGCGTACGTACACCCCTGCAGACCAAATGGGAAATTGGTGTGAGCTGGGACACCTACCTGCCCCGAGCCAGAAGCGCTTTCCCGCCTCCCACAGCCCTTCGGCGTCCCTGCGGGCTGGCGCTCGGGTGCAGTTTCTGAAGCTTCGTAGTGAAAACAGGCTTCTCACTAGGTCACTTCTCTGCATCAAAGCCAGTGCTAGGAGTGAACTGAAGTTACTTATGTATAGCGGTAGCCGTCGTACAAGGGGTAAGAGCAACCCACGGCGAGTGATCCCTTACGGAGATCCCTTGTGTTGTAGGGACAGCTTGCCTATTCCAGAAAAATGCCAGAGCAGGTTCAGCTATTCCCAGTCTATATTATAGCAGCTGCTTTCTGGGATTATTCTGCAATATTAAGTACTTCGTAGCATTGCCAATGGATCATCAGAGGATTCATCTCTTACCTGGTGGAGGTTTAGTTTTTTTCCCCCTCACAGCTTTATTGGTGAAATTAGTCTCCATCTATCTCATGGCCACCCACATGCTTGTTATGATCTGGTTTAACAGAACTTTTATTCTTGAAAGTACTTTGTAAACATTAATTCATTAGATCTTGCCGTTCCCCCTCCTAGAAATATTGTCCTAGGTGAGGTGATGGAAAAAAGGGTTGGAAAAAAGTCATTGGCATTAAGTTCCAGCTCCTGGGAGATAAAGGGATTGCACTTGCCATTCCTCCTTCAAAAGCTCATCCCTAAAAGTCTGGATCAGGAGCTCTGCAGCTGCATGTGGAGCGTGGGCCTTCTGTGGTGTCAGAAGGATTTTAGGAGTAATCCTAATGAATTTCTGAGCCTGGTCCTTAGCCTGAAAAGGAGTCCCACAGTCGCTCTCAGGCTGCTTCAGCTACATAGAGGAAATATCTGCAAGGGGCAAAGCTACTTAATCAGTTTGTGCATGTATATAAGGCATGTCCCATGGAAAAAGATCAGGCTATCTCAACATTTCGGTGACCAGCTAGATAATACATGACTAATAAACTTATAGTTTAGGGTTGTGGGCAGCTGGCAGTAGGTTAGAGTTTGAAATATGACATTTCTTGCAAAGCTAGCATCTTCAAGGCATGTCTTAGCTTGTTAATTTGCAAGCTACACATAATTTGCAGCTTCTCAGAATAGAACTGAGTGAAAGCAGAAGTCATCATCAGTTAAATGGTCCAATTAGCTGCTTGCTTTTGTAGTCACTGTACTGTAGACTGACAAATGAGGCAAGTTATGAAAATTTTGTGCTCTTAATAAAATGTTAAACACATGAATTGTACATGCGTTCACAGTTTAGATTGAGGGAAAAGGCTCCTGATGTGGGACAGAGTTGGCTCTTCAGTGACTCTACCTGCTTTTTCATGCTGGCTGTGTTGCCTTTACTGTAGGCATCGTTGCTCTCTGGTCTCTTGCTCTCCTGGCTTTCGAGCGGTACATTGTGATCTGCCGCCCGCTGGGAAACACGCGTTTGAGGGGGAAGCACGCAGCCCTCGGCATTGCCTTCGTGTGGAGCTTCTCTTTCCTCTGGACCATTCCACCGACCATGGGCTGGAGCAGCTACACCACCAGTAAGATTGGAACCACTTGTGAACCTAACTGGTAAGGACGCTCTTGCAGCAAACGGTAAAGGAATAAAAGCAGCAACTCAGAAATTCTCAGGGGCAGGAGTTTAAAGAAAGCACTTAAAGATGAAAGATTTCTGCAATAACAGACATAGAGAAAGTTGAAAAACAACTGAAGGAAACTTGTCAAGGAAAGAGCAGGTTTACAAAAAAAAAGGAATATCATGTGTAAGAGGAACTGCTTCCACAGCTAACGAAAATAACTCTCCCATGCCCTATATTTCAGTCAGGATTTAACAAAGACAAAGAAATAGTTTTTCATAAGACTGGATAAAGTCTGAGCAAGTGGGTCTGACCCCGTAGTCGGGCTTGCTTTGAGCTGGAGGTTCGACTAGATGTCCCTTCCAACCCGAGTTGTCCTATGATCCCGTTCCTATGATCCCATGAAGTAGGTCCCCTGCTTGGCACAAATCACTAGCATTATCACACTCACCAGCATGCCTAGGAGCTGCATTAAAGAAACTGGATGATAGGTAGCCTTTAACGTGGAAACAGTTACAGAAGAAACCACTGAGGCTGTCCGTTCTCTGCAGCTCCACGAATTTTTTTAAGATTTAGTGAAACACCGTGTGTCACCCGTGCAGACACCGTAGCTGTGCTGCCCCCAGCGGAGGTGAGCGCACGGCTGCCGAGCCGTCCCTGGCGGGACTGTGCTGATCCCCACGGAGCAACGCGGCGCCGGGCATCACTCCACCCTCCGCCGGGAACCACCGGCTGTCGCCTGATTTGTTTAAAAGCAGTTGACAAAACACTAGTGCTATCTTTGAAGAGCAAAATGAATCCTTCTAGAAAATCGTAAGAACATGTATGAATAATATGTATAAAATGTATTCTGTGTTTTATTCAGGTACTCTCGAGCTTATACTGATCATACCTACATTATTACATTCTTCACCACCTGTTTTATAGTGCCTTTATTGGTGATTTTGGTATCCTATGGAAAATTGATGCAGAAGCTAAGAAAGGTAAGAAGAAGCACTTATAAGTAAATTTTGAAAAGGCATATGAATGCCATCATTTGGCATGTTCATGTTTTATTTTCCAGAAAGATCAGGCATAAATAGATAACATTTCCAGACAGCAAATGCACTCCGTTATTATGCCGTGTTAAGTAGTCGTTGTAATGCACAGAAATTCTTGCTATGGTTAGAAATGATCTTTCAAGGTGTGCAGTTTGGACCATTTATCAGTACATCTTGTTAGCCAAACATCATAGGAATGAAAGAACATGGCCGCGTCATCAACGGAGAAACTGAGTAAGCTAGAATTAGTCTGTTTACAACTGTACTTCAGTTCAGTGATTCTTCTTAATGTTTCAATCAGCTTAAAATCGCAGCATTTGTAAATTTTAAGAGTGCTGGCTAATGCTATGTGATGCTTACATGCAGAATAAGAGGTAGCACCTGTAAATAACATAATGATGTCTACTAAATAAAATGCTAGGTCCTCCAGGAGCATTTAAAACACTTAAGAAATGCTTTTGAGTTGTATTTAACAATTATACTGAGCTGCTACAAAGTAGAATCTAGAAAAGCAAAAAAGAAAATAGCAATAGAGCAGGAGAATGCCTACTACTTTTAGTAGGTTAATAACCTAATTCTTACAGTAATTTGGGACAGTACTGTTATTTCTATTTGCTGCAATGCTGCATTGCATTGTCATAGTGCTTCGGTAATAAATCCAGTAAATTACTTCAACATACTGGTATCTTAAAACTATTTGGGATATTCAGGGCCGCCTTTTATGTATTCTGAATGCCATTTCCTCTAACTAAAACAAAACAGAAGGGAAACGTGAAACGTATTTTATTTTCCCCTTAGAAAACGTAGACTGGAACGTGCATTCCTCAGGTGACGTCACGCTCCCTCTAGAGTGACGTTTCTGGATTTCGCCCGGGACGCACGCGGGGCAGAGGAGCCTGGGTGGCTGGGAAAGGCTGAGCTGGGCGCTAAACCCCAGCAGCCTCCGACTGCAGCGGCAGCCGGCGGGCGCCGCGCTGAGACGCGGCCTGGCCAGGTCCTCCCCCCGCTCTCTCCGCTGCCCAGAGAGAGCAGCAGCCGGATGGATTGAAAACCGGCGCTTCTCAGCAAGGTCAGGCGTAAGCAGCCTGTTTCGCGCCGCCCTGGGAGCTGTCGTGCAGGCTGAGACCGTGTTATAACCAACCCTCTGAGCTGGACCCTGCTGCTTTTCACAGCTGAAAACACCCACTGGGGTGGCAAAGCCACCTGCCGGGGATATAGTCCCAAAACCTGTAATTTCCATGCGGCTGTGTCACACAGCCAAGATCATTTTAAACAAACAGACTCGTATGAGATGGGACAGAGTCAAAAGTGCCGTCCGGGAGCGCTGGGTGCTGCTCAGGGAAACCTGCCAAAGCAGTGTGCAGAAAGCCCGGGGGCCAGTGGAAGTGGGAAGGGGCGTTCAGCGCCGCGGACGGAGGGTGTCTGGGCCACACCGCGGCTGCGCGGGAGCAGTCGGGCGCTGCCCGCACGCCCGCTCCGGCCCTGCCGCGTGCCCAGGCCCCCCCCCTTTCCAAGGGTCTGGAAAGTTAAACTCGGCTTTTTTTTTCCTTGTTTGCGTGGGGAATTTAAACGGAGAGGAGCCGCTGTTCTCTGCAGGTTCCTCCCGTGTGACTCTGCGGGACGATTTGCACCATGGCTCTACGCACTTTTCTACAGCTTGTTTCAGCAATATCCTTTTGAAAGAATGCTCCAAACCTAGTGGTGTTACCATTCTTCCTGTATTCCCTTTGGACTAAGATTTTTCTCTCGGTTTACCTATCCCAGCAGAAAGACTTGGGAGCCGGGAAGTGGAGGGCAGGTATGTGCTAGGTGGCCGTCTCCACCCTTAGTCAAAGAAGCAGCAGACAATGAGTCCTGCTCAGGGGCTCAGAAAGAATCGTGTAAGAGCCTCAAAAACCAAGAAAGAATCGTGTAAGAGCCTCAAAAACCATTTTACTTTAAAATGTAGGCATATCTAACAGCTCAACAGTGACGCCGTCTCAGGTGCCCGTCCCCAACACGCTGCCCTCGGCCAGCACCTGTTCCTGCAGAGCCTGCAGAGCTGCTCTTGCCTCAGAACCTTTTACTCCGCGTTTTGCCTGGGCTCTGGGTTCAGGAAAGTTCAGAAAACGTTCAGACATTAGCGTCCAGAAAATCAAAGCTTCTACCTGGCCACGTGGATGGTGGCAACTCTAGTCCCATGCACACTGGTTCATAAGCTCTAGCAGCTCGTTTTACATTCCTGTGGACAGCCTCTTAACCTGCCCTGCTCCCTGACATCCCCTCACATAAAATGACAAAAGAGCGGGTGCCCTCCTGAACCCTGAGGTTTCCATAGCTGCTTCCCTTTTCCACTGCCTGCCTTCCCGTTTGGTGGATCCGGACGGTGAGGCACAAGCCCAGCCAGCCTAACGTCTCCTGGTCACCCCGACACAAGGTTTCTCGTGGCTGCATTACGCACCACAATGTTGGTGCATCCCCGGGGCGGCTTTGTGATCCCCTCGGTGCCCGGAGCTCAAGGCACGCCGCACCGGGCTGTTTCGTCCCTGCCGGTGTCCCCTTTCCTTCTGTCTGTCTTGCCTTAGAAATCGATGCAGGGTCACTACTAACTGTTGGTTTAACCATCTGTCCCCATCATTTTCAAATACAATATTTTTATTCACAAGCTCTCCTACAGTGTTAATAACAGAGAAGGAGCTGTTGGGTTCCTCTCCAGAGGTGACTGTGCTCCAGATAAAAGGAAGTCAGGTCTTCTCTCTGTTTATATACAGCGTCTTAGAGTCCTTCTGTATGAAAAATTGCTATAGAAATGTTATATATTTTTCTGCAGGGAACATTTTATATTTACTCAGCATCTAACACAGCCTTCATTGATAGCTAAGAACTTGTAGGTTCTATCACAATTCATTATTATTATTGTTGTTATTATTATTTCTTAAAACAATATTTTCATTGTCATTTGTTTCTATAACTGACTGCAAACATCCCTATTTCTATCACAGACGTGATCATATTTCCTATCCCCATTATATCAGAATTCTGAATTTATTACTGAGATTTTTTTCAACCTTAAGGTTTAGTTTGGAGTCACAAAACACACTTAATAAGAAAAAAAAATTATTAGGTAAGTAGGTTAGGAGGCATTTATTCATTTCACGCTTTGTCACTTTGGACGTTCAGTGATTTGCTTTGTTTTGATAACGAAACCAACAAAATCACTCATGCTAAATTCAGCCAAACTGTCTGTAAAAAAAGCACATGATACGCAGCTTTCTATGCAGGTAAAGAGGTGGCTTTCAAACCCCCCAGGAGGTGCCTCTATCCGTCGTTAAGTCATAAATATGTTAGAGTAGAGTGCAGTGCAGGGAGAATGGGGGAAAACTTCTTCATTCAGCTCTAACTACACTGTGGAAAGATTATAAGGCCATATAATACCAACAGCTCTTAATTTATTATTATCGTAAGACCTGGCACCAGGATTTCTAGAGCCGTTTGGAGTCAGCGTCCTTCCCATGTAAGCTAACATTACCCAGCAATGTCTTGTGAGTCATCAGAAACAAAACAGGGATATTGCCCAGAAAAAAAGTTATATGGCATAACATGATTCCCACTCCAGTGCTTTCAGATTGCTCCTGTTCAGTCTCTTTGGACCAATATCTCTGTCTAAGCTGCTCGGGTGATCATCACGGGGGTAGGGACGAGGGGCAGCGTTCCCGCTGAAAGCCCCAGACCTGTTTTAATGCCGATGTCAGTAGGCCACAGATGCTCTTCTCCGGTTTCTGGTGAAGGCCACAAGGCACCACGGAGCTCGACGTACTCTCCTGGTCGCTGCTCCTTGCGCTGCTCTGAGGGAGGCTGCACAGCTGCAGCAAACAGCTGCCTTTAACGTCCCTATTGGACACACTTTTTCTGCAAAGGCTGTATGAAAAAGAAAGTGCTCGTATTCGGGCTGGCTATCTGCTGAACGACTCACCACGACTGCCTTCCTTCTCGGCAATTAAATAAACATCATGCCTTTGATTAAACTGTTGCAGCTACTGTGGGCAGCCCTATTGGCAGGGCACGTCTTGCCGGACTTCAGCATGGCAGGGTCTGCAGTTCAAGGCCAGTGCTGGTACTTAGAGCCAGCCCCTGGCGCCGGCCTGAATGGGAGCTGGGGAAACGTTTGAAACTGATGAGATTTTTTAAAAAGATCTTGTAAGGTCAACGCTGTGGTTGGACTAACTGATGCGGAAGACAGCTTCGTAGGTGTGATTAAGGTTCGTTGGCCCTAAGGCTGCTTAAACGCTGTGTTTGTGTTACGGGATTGTGCTTTCCACTGTGTTTTGCTGTACGTTAACTGGTGTTAACGCATTTCGCAAAAAGACTAGAGATTAGAGGAGGGGAAGAGGGGGCTCCTGCTC